ATGGTTATTGAAAATGCAGTACATTTACCCATGGAATAGTATTCAGGTATAAAGAAAAATGCAGTTATAACATTTACAGGTAAATGGTTCGATCTGGATATAATCATTCTATATGAGATAACCCACTTTCAGATATACATGTTGAAATTGGAGTCAGGAATATAATAAGAGACTGTGGTGTGTGTGTGTGTGTGTGTGTGTGTGTGTGTGTGTGTGTAGGGGGTGTCTCAAGAGAAAGGGATAGAACACAAGTGGTATAAAATGGGAAAGGCGAATAATGGAACAGAAGGGTTGGATGGGATAGGAAATAGAAGGACAAGATAGAGAAAGGAATACAAGGAGAGGATAACAAAACTTTTTGGAAAATTACATAAAAACCTACTACTGTAGAAGCTTTCTAAAATCTATACCTATATAAAAAGAGTTTAAGTAGAGCTACCCTATGTATAATAGGCTGTCTTAATTAGGATTACTTAGTTAGGTTGCTGTGCTGAAACACCATAACCGAAATAAAGTTGAGGAGGAAAGGGTTTATTTGGTTTCCAATTCCATGTCACACTGTTCATCACTGAAGAAAGCTGGAACAGGAACTCAAGCAGGGCAGGAATATGTAGGTAGGAGCTGATGAAGAGGCTATGGAGGGCTGCTGCTTTCTGTCTTACTTCCCTTGCCTTGCTCATCCTGCTTTCTTACAGAATGCAGGGCCACCAGCACAGGGAAGGGACCACCCACAATGGGCTGGGCCCTCCCCCATCAATTACTAATTAAGAAAATGTCCGAAGGGTGCACTGGTACATTGTCTATAATCTCAGAACTTGGGGAGGCAGAGGCAGGCAGACCTCTTTGTAGACCAGCCTGGTCTATAAAGTGAGTCTAGGACAGCCAAGGCTACAAAGAAAAACCCTGTCTCAAAAACTCAAAACCAAACCAAAACAAACAAAAACACAAAACCCAAACCAAAACAAACAAATAAACAAACACACAAAAAACAAAAACCTGCCCTAAAGGCTTGCCTGTAGCCTGATCTTATAGAAGTAGTTTCTCAGTTGATGCTCCCTCCTCTCTGATGACTCCAGCTTGTGTCAAGTTGACTTAAACTACCCTGTACACAGGATGACAATGCTTCCACAATACCCCAGGATGAGTTACATCTTTTGGATTTATTAGCTAGTGTGGACCTATAGACCTCCAAATATTAAAAGCACTGCCATTGCTCTTAGTTATTGTCTAGAAGTTAATGATAAAGCTCTATTGTTGAAGACATCATATATTTGAGTTACAGGGCATGGAAAAAGCAAGCTGGTATTGACATAGGTATTTCATCCCTACTGGGTAGCATTTATACTTCTGGAGGGTTTGATGCACACCATTAGGAGAGAAAACTAGTCAACAGTTTTACCCAGCTATGAACCCTGTGAATTATAATAATGACTGGTCTTTCAAGACATGCCCACTGGAGAAAATAGTGGCACAAAATGTATTTAATAAACAGCTACTTCCTGATTGTATTTAAAGCCTGCTTAATAGCTCAGATATTTACCACTAACTTGCTTCAGATCCATAGCTGTTTAAGTCACGGGTCCTTGGGGGAGCATTTAATACTGTTATTCTGCTAAATAGATAATGTAAAGTGCCATCTTTATACCCATAGGGCATCTTTCAACTTTCACCAAAGTAGCTTCTTTCCGCAGTAGGTGGTGAATCCAAAGACCCACTTACTAGTCCACATGCAGAGAATAAGATACTGAGGAGTGCTCAGTCCTCCATATACATCACACCCCTGCAATGCTCAGGGAAAATCCCAGGAGCCCAGAAGAGGGGCACAAATGTTGTAAGAACCTAACGTAGTTGATATCTGCAGTGAGACAATATTTGTGAGACACGATAAAGCTGTACACACATGAACTCACTGCAGTTGCGGATGCATGTACAAGATCAATCCAATCAAAACCCCAGGACTGATGAGGAAAGAGTCACCCCTAGCTTAAGTGCTATTGCAATAGATGACCTCTGTGAGAGGGATCGTCACTTTTCTTTCTTTCTTTATAGTGAAATTGACATTTATTTTAATTCTACAGTAACATAAGAGATAGATTTTAGGTGTTTATCACAAATTTCTTGTGAAGACAGCCATCACTGATTGCATATTTAAAGTATTTTTCTAGTGCTAACTACATAAAGATATATAGTAACATTTTCTTTTCTTCTTTTTTCTTTTTCTTTTTACATTAATTACAGTTTATTTCACTTTGTACTCCAGTTGTAGCCCCTCCTTCATTTCCTCCCAATCCTACCCTCCCTCCCTCCCTCATCTCCTCCCATGCTCCCCTCCAAGTCCACTGATAAGGGAAGTCCTCTTCCCCTTCCATCTGACCCTAGCCTATCAGGTCTCATCAGGAGTGGCTGCATTGTCTTCCTATGTGGCCTGGCAAGGCTGCTCTCCTTTCAGGGGGAGGTCAAAGAGCCAGCCACCGAGTTCATGTCAGAGACAGTCCCCTTTCCCTTTACTAGGGCACCCACTTGGATACTGAGCTACCATGGGCTACATCTGTCTAGGGGTTCTAGGTTATCTCCATGCATGGGGTTATAGTTTTCCTTCAGGAGTACAGTTTCTGAGAGGCTGCCCATCCTCTAGTAGATGGGCCTTCACTCATTTACATACAGGCATCACTAAATGGAGTCAATGAGGGATGGAGGGAGGGAAGGATGGGAAGGAGGAGGAGAAATAACATGAAGTTGGAAGAGAAAAAGGTAATGAAATATAGGCTAGATTGGAAAGGAGGAAACGGGGTGGATCTTATTAAAATTGTATATTTGAAATTATCAAACAATAAAAATACTAATAAATATGCAGAGTAATGCCATCTCTTTCATCTTCCAAATCTGTAAGATGCAGACTTGTTCCCAGTCTAGGAATAGGGGAATCTAGTAAATATGCTTTGTAAACTTCCTACCTCCAGAACAATGAGAGGCAGTGAAGGAGTAGATCTTATAAGCAGGAGCCCCTAAACTCTGGTATGGCTCATTTATTCATAGATATTCACAATGTGATCATTTTTACACACAAAAAAATTCTGGTTGAAAACAGACCTCTGTGAACTATCTCTTTGTGGTTTCTGGCTTTCTAAGCCTTGAACAACTGATGATATTATTATGATATACATGACTGGAGTGCTTTTCATAAAAATTTGCAAGTCCAGTTGAGCTAAGAGATGAGATCTAAGCACCAATGTAACAGTTGCACCAGACAATTAGTACTAAGTGCTTTGGACAGTGGTGTTATAACACTTGAGAAATATGGCGTTGCTGGGGAGCTGAGGCTTCCTCTCTCAAGACCCACAAACTAGTAAGAACTGAGAATATTGGCTTGACTGCTGACATGTTTTATTGTAGAAAATATCAACCCTGCAGACCACATTTGATCATGAGATATATTCCTCTGTGGTTGTCCAGGGCAGCTATCAGTTACCCTTATATCCTCAGAAATTGTGCAAATGATTGACTTCTTCAAACTGGGGCCAGAAACTCAGGTATGTGGAATTACAAGGGATTCCCCCTAAGGGGAAATATAGTCCATTCTAAGAACCTCAAAGTTTGTGTTTTGGGGGCTACATTCTCATTGTATTTTTGAGCCACATGACCATTAAAGGTCTCGCCTTTGAAAGTTTAGGGGTGGAAAGAATTGATTTTTCATAAACACAAGGGGACAGTTAAAGTGAGCTGTATGGATAGGATTGAACAAGGGAAAAGTGTGGAAATAAGGACAATCTGAAGCTCCAAGAAACACTATGTCTAAATAGCAGAGTGATGGAGAAGCTATGTCCAGAGACTGTACAGAAGAAAATAGACAAATAGGGTGGACAAATAGATTATGGAATGGGTGGCTGCCAATACATGCTGAATCTCCCGGACCTTTTAACTGGGGTACTAAGAGGCTAGTGTGTGTGTTTGTGTGTGTGTGATTGCTGCTTATGATGTCACAATTTTTTTTTTCCTTGGAATAGACCTATGGCAGTGGAGTGAATAGATCAAGGCAGATGAAGCCAGGCTTTTGATTTATGTTTCTAGGTTGCATTCCTAGGTTTTATGCTCACACAATCACTGTTTGATATGGAACAATGAAAAGTCTTTCATTTTGTACAGCCTGGGTATTCAAGGGATCAGGTGAGGAAATTTGTAACCAAGCAGAACACAGGAATGGCCTTCTCTGGCTAGGAAAATTTCTCCAAATGGTCACATTCCAGCTGCTCCCCCTCCCCCTACGTCATTTTTTGTTTCCATATTCTCCATCTCCCATGAAGAACTCCCATTAATTATGAACTCACCCTGACAGGGACTTGAATAAGCTCCTAGGAGAGACTTTCCTTTTCTATTTTAGTGAAAGATACCTGGGATTTGAGGGTAGTAAGACTCCTTAGGAAATTTTACTTTAGCCTCAGCTAGGCGAGGAACTCTAAATAAACATCAAATCCTCAGTTTCAGCCTTCATTTCCTACAGAAGTCTCAAGGCATTTTTTTTTTTTTGTCATTAAGATAAGACATTTGATTTCCCTTCTTGGCCTCCATCCAAATTCTTTTCAGCAGATGGACCTATCACTACATTCTACTGGGTTGCCTTTGGAACTGGGGGTTGAGTCTGAGTCACACACATTTTACGGTGTCTGCTCTGGCCTGAACTTCATATACACTGGCATCATCTCAGAGTGAAGTTGACTTTCTTTTCCCTGATTCCAGGATTTCAGATGGCCCTGCTATGATTCAAAAAAAAAAAAAAAAAAAAAAAAACCAGTCAGGATCTCATTTTGATTGGCTCTAGCCATCACAGCCAGGTTCACTCTGAGAGTTTCCTGTCCCCTCATGAATGGCCGCAGAAGCTCTGCTCTTGGCTCTGCACTCTAATAAGCACCCCTTGCATGGATGATGCCAAAGCAATGCTTTGAAATCCGCGCCCATTCCATGTGGCTTTTCTTGCTGCCGTTTCTGTTCTCTTTTTATTGTAGGATCTGGAGACTCACCTCTAGAAGACGATGGAGTCTGGCATTCACACTCTCTCTATCAAGGTGAATGCTTTGCTTATGTGCTGACAAGGACCTGCTGATGCCAGGAGATTTTTCTTTAAGGCTGCGCAGAGTAGACTGTAATAAAGTGACCAGAAACCACATTGAAGTTCTAATTGCCTGCTCAGGAAAATAAATATTTAAAAACAAACATGCATAGGCACTCCTCCTTCCAAAAGGAAAACAAAAGGAAGAAAAAAAAAAAAAAAGAAATCTCTGAAGTGCTGTCTTTGGGCACCCCATGGTCATTTTATTCTCCTAAATGTCTTTACTGTCCTCACTTCTGCAAAGACAAGCTGTGGCTGATGACAGTGAAAATCAAGCCTGATTCAGACATTACAGCTAAAACTGTCCAGAGCGAACCACCCAAGGTTAACTCTGCACTCAGTGCTGCTAATGTACTGATTGAATGGAGAATGAGAAAACTTGATTTTCATGAGCTCATCTCGTGCTCTTTCTGAGCCTAGCATGGCTCCTCAAATCATAAGTAAACTATGTTGTTGCTCGAATAAATTTTAACTCAATGATAAGAAATCCAGCTGTACAAATTTTCCCCAGTATCCGTTCCCAGCAGGTATAGAAAGCCCAATGAAGGACCGTCTTTACTGGCTCAGGTAAGTATATCCACCAATATTCCTGCTGTTGCTTCCTTGAACCCAGGATGCTCAGGGCAGAAATGAAGGTAAATGCTTTTTGTCTGAAACTGCTTTTTCTTCCTGCAGAGGAAACCTGTGAAGAAAATAGGCTGGTAAAATTTCATTTTGACATTAGTCTCAAGAAATGCATCCAATCTCTGGCAAGAAAGTGCTACCCTAGACTGTTGTGTCATTTCTGAGCTATCAGGGAATTGAAATAGTTCCGATCAGCCAATGCTTAAAGACTGCCCTTCAGCTGTTTTCCAGAGGAGTGGAAAATCTTTCTAAACAATGACTGGTGCCTATGTCCAGACATGATTCCACATTTCTTTGATTTTTGACAGCAAAAACTCACTTAACAAATAATATCTATCTTCACTGTGTTGGGGATTAAGCAGTCCAATCAAGCTCAAACTTTCTAAACAGATATTTGGGGTAAGGAGATGCTCTGCTTCATAAGACTTTCTGGAAGTTGTAAAAAACTCTTTTTGAGTCCCTAGTTTAAAAACATTCCTAAGATGTACGTAATGCAAAGAGACTGAAAATATGCCTATCCCAGAACCTGCCCTGAATGTCTGAGAATAAATCTTTTCATGATAAATCATTTCTCTTGTCTGTAGGAATCATAACACTATACATCTTATATGTATAGATACACATATCAAAACATGCTGTGCACCTTGAATTTTTACAATAGAGACTTAAGACTTTTTTTTCTTGTTATTACTGTTATGATGAGGGTTGAACCTAAGGCCTTTTTCATCAAGACAAATGCTCTATTCAATAGCTATACCTCAGCTTTTAAGTGTCATTAATTTTAAAAGTTAGAGGTCAATCATGACTAACTGTGAGTTTAGCTATGGAATATTAAGTTCCTCACAGTGTCTGGCACAGAGTATATACTCAGTAACTGATTTGATTTAAGTCAAATTTAAAAATTGAAAAGATTAAATAGCATACATTGAGTTCCCAATATGTGACATCTTATTTATTGATTTAATTGTATTTATTTAGGTACTTGAGTGCTGGGGATGGAATTCAGGATGAATGGTTTTACCTGGATACCATAGTATATTCATACTAATTGAGGGAGGGATAAGGTGCATAGAGACAAGACAGTATTACTCCCTCTGCTGTTTATAGAAGAGGGAAACAATGGTTCTAGAGAGTAGGAAGTGAATTCTGTGTCACTACCTCTGCTGACAGATGTTGCACTTGAGTTTGAACCAGTGTTTTGGCTCACATCCATAATGCAGTAGTAGTTCCTCATTAGCCTGCCACACCAGGCTGCCTACTCAACGGACTCCATTTAATTACAGTGCTTATCATATACTGGCCCAGGGGGATGCAAAGGCTTTCCTGATTAATCAGTTTGGATGTCTACTTGGTAAACCTTGTCTTAACTGCCACAGAACAAGATCGTTCTTCCTCTAAGCCTCTGTGTTAAACATTTTTGTTAATTCACTTTGACTAACCCACTGTGCTTATATACACTTTAAATTGAAACCACTCACTCACTCACGCTCCCATTGCCATTACCAAAGACCCCTAAAACTGTCAAAATATGTTCCAAAGATTTGCCTTGGAAAGTAATAAAAATAAAATGCCTTTTGAAAATAAATGAATACAAGATTATATTTTCCTCCTCTGCATGGTGACAACAGCACAGCTTTTGGATATGTGGTCAGCATTGATAGAAGAACTTGAAGAGTCCAAATAAGGAAGAAAAATGCATGCTGCATTCAGACATGTAAATTTGTGATATATGAAAGCATACACTGATATAGATCATAAGTTATACATAGTGCCTGTAGACTACATGTGTAATGTTTTTCAGAAAGGAAATGTTCCATGAAGGCTCTGCACATCTGAATCTGCATGGTGCAAATGAATAAACTCTAGAGTAAGCCCTCATCACCTCTACCCAGGACATCTAGGGAATATTACTTGAGTCTTAAATTTTCAATCCACTATCAACTTTGTGAAAACCATTAAATGATGAAAGTATTAGCCAAAGAGAACCTGAAAGCCTCAGAGTAAAATGGTGTTCTATTGCCAAAATCTGGACAGGATCCTTTAGTAGGGCTTACTAGCAGTCAGAAGGACATCCTTAGGAGAGAATTCTTGGGAAAAGTGGAACAAGGCCTGTGTTCCTTCCTTTCTGTCCACATGGTGGCAAACTTACTCCATTGACTGGCAGCACAGGTGCTGGTGGGGAATGAAGAGCCAGGCAGGGTGGGAAAGTAGCTCTTGTTCAAAGCATTAACTTCACTCCTACCCAAAGACTTGAGGAGGCTTGTCACTGCTCCCCAGATTGTGCAGAACTGATGAACTGGCTGCTGGAGGAACTTCTCCACTAAGAAGGTAGCTTGTCCTTCCTTTGCATAGTTGTCTGAGTGTACCTTCCCAAAACAGAGGAGAAGTTCTGCTTTATTAATTGTAGCCCAGGTATGTTTTGGGCAGCTTCTCTGTTGCCATGATAAAAACACTGACCAAAGCAACTTGTCAGGGAAAAGCTTTGTTTGACTCCATTAGCAGGAGAAGTCAAAGCAGAAACTCAAGGCAGGAACCTAGAGGCAGGAATTGAAGCAGAAACTCTGCAGGAATTCGACCAACTGGCTTGTTCTCTGTAGCTTTCTCAGCTTGCTTTCTTATATATAACATCCAGGATCACCTGTGCAGAGTTGGCACCACCCATGCCCAAGATTTAGGCCATTCCACATCAATCATTATTCAAGAAAATGCTCGTTAGGGCATTTCCTGCATATTGGCCCACAGACCAATCTGATGGAAAGTTCTGTCTTTCCAGGTGAATCTTGTTTCAAGTTTGCAAAACATAGCCAACATAGCTATTATGAGACCAAAATCAAATTTTCCATCTGAGGAGGGTATCACTCTTACCTAAATAGGGCATAACTGAGGATATTTGAAAAGGGGGGTGGTTTTCTTTACTGGGAGTAATTGTTTTAGGAGTGTAAGCCAAAATGACACTCTATCATGAACATTTGCGAAGCTTAGTTAAAATTAGTAAACAAGAGTACTGTGGTTTTCTTTACAGAGAATTTGCATATAGCTGGGAGGAAACCACAGTTAATCTACTCTGTGTTACACATACATGGCTAGGGTAAGAATTCACTATGGCATCGATTAGGATATCATAGTAAGGGCAATATGAGAAGAAACAAATGCTTATTGAATATTTATTTTTTGCTCAGCACTGTGATAGGTGATGGATATACATACAGTCTTTATTCCTTATAGCATTTGCCTGTAGTTTGCCCACATCACACAACTAATTAGGGGAACTTGGATTCATATTTATTTATGTCTAGTACTCAGTCTCACAGTCATAACCTTCTTATCTAAAGGGCATAGGGCACAATTGGAGGTTCAGAATCTGGACTGTAGCCAATCTGGGAGTGCAAGAGTAAAGGGCTGCACTGTCTAAACCTGTCATTTCTTATTTTTCCATTGTTTGCTTCTGCCTGTAGACACTCCATGGTGCTCCCCCATCAAGGTGAAGTATGGGGATGTTTACTGCAGGGCCCCTCCAGGTGGATACTACAAAACGTCCATGGGGACCAGGTGTGACATTCGCTGCAGGAAGGGCTACGAGCTTCATGGCTCTTCCCAGCTCATCTGCCAGTCAAACAAACGCTGGTCGGATAAGGTCATCTGTAAACGTGAGTAGATAAGACCTGTGGTGAGTCTTCAGGGACAAAACTGTTTTGCTATAAGATGAAGCTTTCACAAAGTGGTGAGCTTAAGCCAGTCAATTTCTATGACATAGCAGAGGGTGTGTGTGCTCCTTTTCCAAAGATGGGTATGGTGCACTATTTGGAGAAAGAATAGATAAGAGACATTCCCCAGAGCACTGGTGATATTTGTTCAGTAAAGCCAGGGTTCCAAAGAGTTGCTGGTGATTTAAAAGCCAATAAGACACTTCTAGGGTTTGAAGCAAAAGACATGAGATAGGTACAAGAAGAACCTTAAACTGGGGACTTCTGGTGGTAAACAAAAAGAAAATCACGGAAAACGAGTGTTCCAAGAAGTAGGACTTAGGGATGCAAGGAAGATTCACAGAAGTGATGCTTAGTCTGTGAAAGGGAATGAACCTGGACAGAAGTTGATGGGGCATTTCAAATGCAATGAGTTAAAGCTGATTTATGTAGTTCCTTGCTTGCTGACTAATTCTGGAGGCAACAGACTGCCTTTGAGACAAGTCTTTCCAAGTTAAGACTGTAGAAACTACAGCATCGGTGAAACCCATTTTGGATGCCTTTCTTATGCAAAGTTGCCACCCCCTATTGATTTTCTAATATTGCTGAAGTCTTTAAAATACATTCAAGTTCTGCCCATATACTGTGCATATGGTTGGGAAAACTGAGGCCCAGGACTGTAGTCATGTGGTCCAGAATATGTAGATGATATAACTGGATCTTTGTAGCATACATTTAGCAATATTTCACCAGGTTTCCATGTGACCTGCTCCTAGGTCCTGGTTGTTTTTCTGTTTTTGCTTTTATTTGTTTTCTAGAACTGGGATATGAGCTCATGGCCTGGAAAATGCTGGGAAAATCTGCTGTGTCCCTAGCTTTAAAAACAAAAACAACTTTTTTTTTTTTTTTTTTTTTTTGTTTAGAGGCAGGGTTTCACCAAATTGAAAGTCTGGTGGAAACTCAGTTGGTAGCCCATACTGTTTTTGGACTTGACATCTTCTTCCCTTAGTCTTCTAAGAAGCTGGGATTGCAAGCCTGGGTCACCAGATACAACCACACTTGGGATTTTCAGCTTTCTTCAGAGAAAGAAAAAAGAAATCTCTTACAGAAAACTCTTTTCTCCTGCTGCTTCTCTACCATCTTCTTATTTGTTTGTTTGTTTTTGTTTATTGTAGTCTAGGAATTCCTGCCTCTGCCTCCTGCATGTTGGAATTACAACTGTGAACCACCTGCCCAACTGACAGGGGAAACATTCTTCCATGGGTAGTCTGTCCAAGGATTGACTAGTAAAGGGTGTTTCCAGGTGTGGGGGCTGAATTGGAACTACCTTCTTCCCTCCAGGGCGCCTCTGAAGGAGCAAGCTGAAGCTGACCCTGCTAGCCATCACCCCTTGCTGTCACCTTGTGCATCTTTCTCCTCTTTTCATATTTTCTTACCCCCATTTGCTCTCCTCTGGCAACACTTGCTTCCAAAGGTTTTAACACACAAATCCTTATCTCAGGGTTTGTTTCTTGGAAATCTCGTCTAAGACAGTGGTGTGGCCTACTGTGATATGAAACATCATGTCTTCTGTGTGGCACCTAAGCAGCCATTGTTTTATGCCACATGGTATATTGTAGCAAACTGTCCACTGCATGCTTTCAGAGTGTCTGCATTCTGCACTTGTGAACAAAAACTAAGAAGTACTGAATATCTGTCCCTCTCCTTTTCAGAAAAGCGATGTCCTACCCTTGCCATGCCAGCGAACGGAGGGTTTAAGTGTGTTGATGGTGCCTACTTTAACTCTCGCTGTGAGTACTATTGCTCACCAGGGTACACACTGAAAGGAGAGCGGGCAGTCACATGTATGGACAACAAGGCCTGGAGTGGTCGACCAGCCACCTGTGTGGGTAAGAAAATGTTGCAGACCTCAGAAGCCAACTCTTTGGAGAGGAACAATTGGTCTTTGGTCATGCAATACATAGGGAAGGAAACAACAGTATTCCATGTTTGAAACCTAAACAGACAGCACTGCATTCAGTAGCCTCTCGGGTCTTAGGCCTAGCCCTAGACCTTAGTCTTTATCTTAGCTGACTTCAATGCAAACAGCTTTCTGCTGACTTTTGTCAGTTTCTAGACCTGCTGCTTCCACTTCTGGGAACTTACTAGAAAGGTGATGTCTCACATGCCTCTCTACTTCCTGAATTTAAGATTCTGGAGGTAGAGCCCAGCATTTTGCATTTTTATAGGCCCTGTAGGGATTTTAAGGTCTTCAAATAGAGGACCGCTAACCTCAAGTACTGCTTCTCAAATTTTCTCAAATTCTCTGGGGACCTTGAGAAAAACATAGATTTTGAACTCAGCAGGTCTTGGGATTAAGGTTTGAGAGTCATCCTGTGAGAAAAGGTTTCTGAACTTTGGAACAAGAGGCATTTGGGGGTAAGCAATTTTTGTTGTGGTTCTTTTCTTTTTGTACTGTATGCTATTTAACAGTGTCTTGGATTTTACCCACTAACTATGTAGTGACAATATTCCCACACCCTGACCTCAGACTTCTTGGACCTAATCAGCAATATCTCTGATAGTTTTCAGTGTCTCTAGGGAAGAAAATTAACCCTTCCATTGCTAACCATTTGCCTAGGGACAGTGCATACTCAGCATAGATATTTGTAATTAAAACCCAGGTACCTTTCAGTGGCCTGTCTTAGAGATTCTGATTCAACTAGCCTGACAGGAGGCAGCTGTAGGAGGCCAATAGGATTATGAAAGCATCCCAGATGATTTTCCTCCTGGAGATCCAGGATCACTCTCTGGAGGCAGCATTAGCAATTCCCAAGAAACTTGCAAATTCCCCACCAGACCTGAGATGGGCAAGCTTAGAGACTCTGGCATTGGGCCCAACAATCTGCTCTTGTAGAAGCCAGCTCTGGTAATTCTGGGGGGGGGGCAAAGCTAGAAAACCTGCTTTAAATTTAGTTCAAATTTAGGAAGGAGTTTCATATATTTATCCTCAAAACCACTGTCCTCACATCAGAAGCATTAGCACCAGGAGAACAGTTAGGAGGGCAGAATCCTGAAATCCTACAAACCTAGATAATCAACCCCCCACCCCCCGTGGATTCTGGTATCTCTTTAGACGTTGAGGCACCCAGCTCTAGGGCAATGTTTTCTGCACCAACATTGAAGAATGAATCTCCGAAGTATTGAAATTGTTCTGAAGTTCCTCTGCAAGTGCTTGAGAACCACTGTTACAGAAGATCCTTTACTCCTAAGCTGTGGGAGCTGCCAGGCCCTGCACTTAGGGAACATTATAACCCAACTCCACATTGTTCATAAATAGAATTTGATTAATGTTTTTTGAGAATTTCATGCAGTGCATTTTCATCATATTCATCCCTAACTCTTTTCCTTAACCCCACCCCTTTTCTATGGATGACAACAGAGAGGTCACTTGACTTGCTTGAGGCTGCACAGAGCCATGTCTGTGTTAAAGTTGCTATATCAAAGTACTGATTTGATCCTAGGATGCCAAAGGCTACAGGAACCTGGTTCCTGCCCTGCCTCTGCCTGCCCATTCTTTAGCAAACTGTTTAGTTCTGTCTCCTAACGTGTTTTAATACAGGGATCCCTTGGCTGCTCAGTGTCCTGAGAGGCAAGGGTGTTTTATGTCACGATCAAGAGTTAAATCTTATGCTGTCTTCAGAAGACCAATGTGAGACAACATCCCTGGCTGGGGCTTAGGAGGTTTTCCATGATGGCAGCAATGTCCATTGTCTTTACTAGTAACATGCCAGTCTTACTCTGATGTTATGACAAGGAATCAGCTGAAGATGTGATCAACGTCCTGCTTTAAGAATTATAGCCTGCCTCTGAGGTTAAGAGCCCTGGCTGTTCTTCCAAAGATCCTGAGTTCAATTTCCATCAACCATATGGCAGCTCATAAACATCTGTAACAAGATCTGGTACCCTCTTTTGGCATGCATGCATCCATACAGGAAGAATACTGTATAAATAATACATGAATCTTAAAAAAAGAGTTATAGTCTACACCATAGCTTGAATCTGTTTGAAAACAACAGACCCAAATAAAGACTTACATGGTTGATCCATATTTATCCCAGGCTTCTTTTCTTCTAGGTAGGTATTTGTACTGGGCCATGATCAGGACAAAAAAAAATCATTTTAAGTTTTTCAAGCATAAGGAAATTAAATGTAGGGACCTGGTTACAAAAGCATAGGAAAGGCTAGAGAGATGGCTCAGCAGTTAAGAGTGTATATACATTGTTCTGGCAGTAGACTTGAATTTGGCTCCCAGCATCCAAGGTGGTTGGCTTATATCTGCCTGTAACTCTGCCCCAGGGGGATCTGGTGCCCTTTTCTGTCCTCTGAAAGCAACCACATATACATGGCATACACCTACATATACACACACACAAATAAAAATGATTTTAAAAATCTAATTAAAAGTACAGGAAAAATTGAAAAAGCTCTGTATTAATTTTTTATTACTGTGATAAAATAGTTGACATCAACAACTCACAGGAAGAATAGATTTATTTTGCCTCATGATTTCCTTCAGTTCATCATGCTGGAAAGAGCAAAGCAGACCATCTCATGGTGTCCAGAAGAGGGGAGTTCTAGAAGAGAGGCTAAGAGAGAGGAGTAAGATGTTTATGTTTGCTAGATTTCTACTTTTTCACCGTTATTTCCATTTAAACCACAGAATATGGGTTAGTGCCACTTATATTCAGGGTGGTTCTTTCCTTAGTTAATCACCTATGGAGATGCCCATGCAGGCATAGCCAATGGAGGGTCTAATCAACTCCATAGTCAGTTCTCAAAGTAATCAATTTGGCAACCATGATTGACCATTATAATGTTATCACCAACAACTAATTACAGTGAGAAGCCCCTATTGAGAACAGGCTAGAAGAACAACAGTGAAACCGTAGTGTCAGTCTCAACTCTTCATACCCTTCTAATCTGATATCATGATAGATCAAACGTAAGAGCTCAGGAACTACTCATTGAAGGTGCTTGCAGAAATACAATGGCTTTCCTGCCCTCTGTCTCATGCCAGTGAGACCTGTGGGGCACCCAGCTGACAAAGAAATATACAAAAACATTGTATTAAGAAAAATTGCTGGTACTAAAGGGGACAGCATGGCAAAAATGACTGCCAACAAAATGTTTAGCAAAATCACCTTTTTCTGAATGTGTGGTGCCACCTGAGTCCTGTAGTACTGGTCAAGAAGAAGTCCTAAGAACTCCTGCTCAGTGAGGACAAATAGAATGTGCTGAGGGGGTGAGAGCTGGACAAGCCCATCGAAGAGCACCTCACAGGTGCTGCCTGTGATATCTTTCTGGCATTGGTGTGTGCAAACTAGCTCTTAAAACAAACAAAAGAAACCAATCAAATATCTGTTTCCTTGTACTGAAAGGAGCAGGGGTTATAGTGTAAGAGAGGAGAAACCCAAAGCTCTTTCTGCTAAGCAAGCTTTGGCAGAGCAGTCTAGGGACATACTGTTCAGATTTCTAGATTATGCACAACAATGGAAAGAAAATGCTGATTGTTCTCTAAAAGCAACAAGCGTGTCTAAAGCCAGACCAGATGGCCCTGGAACTTGACCAGAGGGAGAGGAAAGAAAGTAAGAAATGAACCCCAATTTCAGGCAATTTGTCTTACTGTTTGCTGAGACAAAGTTCAAGTGTATTGGAAGAATGGAAATTATGTAAGCAACTAGTTGGGAATGGAAAGCAGGGGTAATTGTATGCAGGGTCCCTACTTATAGCACTTTGGTAAATGAAATGAACAGACATGGTAAGCTGGCAGTGCTTTCTGTGATTTTGGTGATAGACAAGCTGGAGTTTGTCGCCGGTGAATTTCACTCCAAAGCTATCATTTACTTCTTTGGCTGTATTAATAAATTTGCTTGTGTGCTGGCAGCAACGAGGCTTCCTTGAGCATAACTTGGAGCCTTGGCCTATTTTTGGAGCTGACACATGGTGCTTGAGTTGTTCCCAGGTTTCCACACAACCTTCAACAGCATATTTTGGCCAGAACTGTACTGAGTGCTGAGAAAGTTAACCCAGTTCTCTTCCAAACTGGGAGGGAATGGGAAGACTTGGCTTTCTTTGACTTCAAGGTGGTCAATTCTGAGGTCTGGCTAGTTGGTCAAAAATAATTCTTTTACTCAGGCTAAACTCAAATTCAGTTATTTAAGAAATGAGTAGGATCATATGGGTGGAAGTGAAGCATAGTGTAAGATGCAATAGGGAGGAGATATTAAGAAGACTTTCCCTCCCCAAATTGGAACTGGCATTATGTGCTAAGGTATTTTAATTTTTGTTAAATTTTATTTATTTCATTCCATAGAACAATGGACAATAAGAATGAACACAAATTCTTTTTTTTTCATTTTGCAAGTTTTTGATTTTTTTAATTTTATTTTTTTCTTATCAGTTACATTTTATTAACTCTGTATCCCAGCGGTGTCCCGATCCCTCATTCCCTCCCAGTCTCTCCCTCCCTCCCTCATCTCCACCGTGCCCCATGCCAAGTCCACTGATAGGGGGACCTCCTCCCCATTCATCTGATCCTGTTTTATCAGGTATCTTCAGGACTGGCTGCAAAGCTCTCCTCTGTGGCCTAACAGGACTGCTCCTCCCTTGGGGGGTGGGGAGGCCAAAGAGCCAGTCATTGAGTTCCTGTTAGAAATAGTCCTTGTTCCCCTCACTATGGGAAACCAATTGGTTACTGAGCTACCACAGGCTACATCTGAGCAGAGATTCTAGGTTATATCCATACATGGTCCTTGGTTGAATGTCAGTTTCAGAAAAGACCCTGTGCCCAGATATATTTGGTCCTTGTGGAGCTTCTATCCTTTCCCCATCAGACTAACTCCCCTTC